AGATTGGAAGAAGTCATAAGAGAAGCAAATCCCTACTTTTTTCTTGGTAAATGAAATTATCAAGGGCAAAAATTTTCTTGTTGGAAAAAATATTATGATTGAGATTTTACCAACTCTTGGAGTGAAAGTGGTTTATTTAAGTGAAGTTTGAATATTTATCCTTTTAGTTAAAAAGATTATAAATAGAAATTTTTAAATTATTTACCTTCATTTCTACAAAATCACATTGTCTCTAAACTATAAAACCTCTAACTACTGTCTAAGAGTTCTCATACTTCTCTCATCTTGTATTTTAAAGTAAGTTTCTCCTTGTTATTTTTTTAAGTTGTTTTTTTAAGGGTTTTGGTTACATGTGGCATTGAGCTATTGCATGTTGCAGGTCTTTAGCAAAGATAAGTTTTTGGTGACCTAAGATTATTGTATTGTGCTTAATTTGTGGATTTGGGTCCTTTAGTAGCCGTTTGAGATCCAATTACTTTGGGAAATTTGGGGAATTTCCATCTTAGAGAAGCTCATTTAGAAGTAAAGGGATGTGAGTAAATTAACCTAATAGTGCATTAATAGTGATAGTGTGATTGTGGTGCAGTGACTCACTAATTGGGATTGAAAACTATTTAAGGGATTATGTTGAGTCTAAAAGCTACATAATTTTTGCTCAAGCAAAGCATTTTCGCTTGAGAAAAAAAGGTCCCAAATTGGAGGACGTAGTCTTAACTTTGTTTCTCGCTCAAACAAGAATTTCATGTCCAAGTGAGTGAATTAGGGTAGTTTATATTGTATTCTCACCTAAGTGAAATGCTAGTCGCTCAAGTGAAACAGTGTATCAATCAAGCGAGAAGGTGTCTCACTCAATCGATAATACTCTACTAAAAAAAGAAAACCCCAAAGAGAAAAAAAAAGAAAGAAATTTTAAAAGGATTTCCACTCAAGTAAAAATTGATTTGCCTAAGCAAAATTTCTTAACTATATGTATGATAGTTACATGTTATAAATTTGATTCTCTATTATTTTTATTTATGTGGGTAATATTCAAGTATGACTTTAATTATATAACGTTGTGTATGCATGGCCATTTTAGAGATTTAGTTAAATGATTATTATGCATGAATGCACATGTGGCATAAAGTATTGTACAAGAAAACATAATGGTTTTCAAGGTGGAAATATTATGTTGAGATGTAGGTGATGAATCAAGTTTGGGGTTCTGAATGAAATATCTTAACTTTACTAGTACAAGACTCACATAGAGAAAAATATTAAGTGGTATGAGTTAAAAAATATTACTATGACTTATATTATGATGTGAAAGATAACTATCTCTAGAAAGTCATATGGATTATCCTTTTCTCATAAGAGAATATTTTCAATTATATACTTATTTCGGATATATCCATTGCGAGAAGATATAGTAACAACAAGTTATTTTACTAAAATTGGAAACTTAGTCTTATTATGTGTATTTAAATCCTTATGTGAAATTTAATTTCTTTTTGAAATACTTAGTCTTGTGATGTAAAAATTGATAATATTTATATCTATATTTATTTTAGCCTTATGTTATTAGATATTGAGGATATTACATCAATTATGACTACTACCATGTATCATTAGATCGTCTTATGAAATTCATTATGAATGAACCATATAATTTCGACACTCCTAAAGAAGTTTATTTCGATGGAGTATCATGACTACAACAAGTTCAACCTAAATGAGTTTATCAACATTAAATCATCTAATAAAATATTAATCAACTATATATAATATTGACTATTAGATACAACATGTCTGATACAATGTTGAGAAAATAGTCTTCTACAACATGCTTGATAAAACCTCATGAAAACTTTATATTCTCCTGAGGAGGTTCTACCGTGCGGAAATGCTCTTTAATGCAACTTTAGCTTTAACTGGTCGTGACCAGGAAACTACTGATTTCGTTTGGTGGTTCAAGAATGCCCGACTTATCAATTTATCCTATAAATTGTTAGGGATGTTGATCAACTTTATGTTATATCAACCATCGGATAAGCTTTTTGACAAACTACACTCACTTATTGGTGATCATCTAATACAAATGATTAACTAACTAATGAATAAACTACTTATATTATTTATGTATTCATTGAAACTCTAATTATATAAAGATCACATACAAACTTGATTGAAATGTAGCTTACAAATATTATTTCGAACAAATATATTTATCCAACGACCATTTCTACGTAAAAGGAAACATGTAATATGTAACATTGTATTGGGATGTGAATCAAACAAAGATAAAAAATTTACAAGAAAAGAATTTGAATGAGAAATCAATCGAAGGTTTGTCTAATAGATGAAGAAAAAAATATTATTCAATATCATTTTTCGTCATAGTGAAACATCAAATTTGATAATGTACACTATGACCTGAATCAAACATAAGATAGTTATACAAGGAAAGTATTTTGAACAAAGAAACAATTTATATCAAGATATACTAAAAAAAGAGATTATGTGAGAAGAAAATATCAAACTATTAAATTATTATTTCTAAAAAGTAATGAAAGGTAAGATTTCAACAATCATGTTTTGAACCCTGTAAAAGGAGAGCCTAGACAAATGAAGAAAACATCAACTACAACATAATCCTATGTAACTTACTAAGCTCTTCATTTTTATCTTCTTTGTGTGTATTCTTTAGAAAGTTTAAGAGAGAAAAAAGATTATTATACCTTTACCTAGGGACATTAAACCTCAATCAAGAGTGTCTATTATTTATCTTCTTTTGTAAGAGATTATTTTATGAGTATTCATACTTGTTCTTATAGTCGGAAGTGATAATAAACTTGTATTCTTAGTCTCAAGTGGAGATTAAAATTGATAGTTAGGAGTGACATAATATACTCAATCTAACTAAGAATGACTTAGTGTACTTTTGTATCTAAGTTTACCTTGTTATATTTGATAGTTAGTTATAATAGAAATTTTTATATATTTTTTAAAAGAGACTAAAGATAACCTTAACTTTAAGAGAAACTAATTAAAAAGACTATATTTTTACGTATTAATGATTTATTTATGTAGTCATTTTATCCATCTTACATCAAATTGGTTTTTTCGATAAAAAATATAATAATATTTTTATTCAAATACAAAATAAAGATATTAATAATAAAATGAATATTTTATTATAAATTGAAAATATTAATATTTCAAAAAAAATAAAATTACAATGATGGTGGGACTAAAGAAATAGTTTTCCATCCTTCCTAATTTTACGAATATTTTATGTGGTCCTTGATAATTTGTTTTACCTCAATACAATTTTTATTTTCATTTTCGTCCTTACCATTTGCTTGCATTTGTTAAATGATGAGTGGTTCCTACCGTTTACATGTAATTTATTTGGTGTTTGGTCCTCAAAATAATTTGTTTTCCATTTTATTTTGTATTTGTTAAATGATTAGTGGTCTCTACTATATGCATGTAATTTTTTCAGGCCTTAGGTCCTCAAAATATTTTGTTTTCCATTTAGCTTGCTGTAAAGTTTTTATTTTATTTTATTATATTTTTTAACAATTTTAAACGCGGGTTAAGCAATCAAAATTAATAATTGATTAAATTTAATATATGTATTTTTAAAATTTTTTTAAGATAAAAATTAATTAATGTGACACAAACAATGTCATTTATCTATATTTAAGATTCATAGCCATTATCTTTTCTAACTCCACCATATTTAACAGTAAGGTTAATTCAAAGAGGATGAATCATTAAATATAATTTTTCTTTTCATCTTCTCTTGAATTTACCATCTTATACACACCGTTTAAAGAAAAAATAATTAATACTTTAATTAAAAGAAAACAAGCACTGCATTAATTAATTTTTTTCCTTTAAATAAAAATACTTATATATATAGATATATATTTAAAAAAATACATGTATCTTATAATTATTTGAATTAGAATTGATTTTGGGGAAAGCGAGAATAAATAAAATATTAATAATATTCTTTCTATAAACAAATAAATTTACTTTAAAAAAATATAAATAATTAAGAAAAACATTTAATCTAAATATTTATACTTTTATTTTATTTTTAAAATAATAATAATATATAATATATATTTAAATATTTTTATTTATGTAAATTTAATTTAATTTTAATTTTGATCTTATTAATTTTTTAAAATTAATCTTTACAAAAATTTAAAATCTTCTGTAAATTTATCATCATTTTTAAATTAAAATATTATATTTAATTATAATAATTAAATTATTTTAAAGTTGTTAATAAAAATAAAAATAAATTAAAACAAAATTTATATAAACTTAAAATAAATTATTTAAAAATAACTTTGCATAATAAATATCATTTAAGATATGAATCCGTATAAGAGGTTAAGTTGACGTTATTAACCCAAATTTACGCTGAGAATTACGTGGCATGGGAAAAGAAAGGTGTCGAAGAAGGGTGGTGCCTGCAAAGAGCAGGGAGACGAGGCATAAGTGTACTGTAACCGTAGACGATCTGAACCAACCTCTCTCTCCACTGATTACCACGTGGAACTTTTCAAACGCTTCCTCATTATTCACGAACTACATCCATCCATGAACATTCATCCTTCAACAACATTAACACCAACAACATACAAAACTTTTCTCATTCTCCTCCTCTTTCTTCTCTCTCAACCTCTTTTCTTCTCACACTCTCTTCAGATTCTTCTTCTTCTTCTTCCTCTTTTCTACTTTTTGTTTTCTTTCTTCCATTCTGTTCTTTCTTTAAAATCACCTCCATAACAACCAGTGTGAGTCACCCTGTCCCCATTTGTTTTCTTCTTTTAATTTACTCACAAAATTTCGGCATAGCTCTCTGCACTTTTATAAAATTGCGTGATTTCTTTCCAGTGGACCACCAAATTGTATTTTTGCGCCTAACATGTTCATGCACATGTTTTTTTTCAGAGAGAAACCTGTTCCGTTGAGGGGTTTTCTCTTTCGCCTTGGTCTCAATGGAGGTAAAAAACAAAACAGTACAGAAAAAAAAGTTGAGTTTTTTCTTAATTTTTATTTTACATCATGCAACTGGGAGCTTGGTATACTGTAAGATTCGTTTTAATTCTTGTTTTTTGGTGCAGAGGTGTTACAATGAGAAAGAGTACACGTCCAAGAAAATTGACCTTACTCTGAAGCTTTCTCCCTGCGGTGAGAATGCAGAAGAGAGGAGGTTGACAAGGTCATCATCAGTAGAGGGTGTGGGAAGTAGGGCCCAGTGGGACCCATCTCTTGGCAGATCTTGCTCACTGCCAGCAGAGAGGCAGAGGAGGGTGTCTGTACTCTCACCTCAAGTGCTGGCCTGGGTGGCGGCTTCTGCTGTCAATGCCAATACACCATCATCACTTCCCCAACTCAGGGCATACCCAAATCCTTCTCCGGCTTCAGCGCTTCAGGGTAATCAATCTCTTCCACTCATGTCCTCTTAGTTGTGTGTTTGGATTAGCTTCTTTTGCAGGATCATAGTTTGTTTATATATGTTTTGGGGATGAGGAAGTTGCCAACATGTATATGTGATGATGGTATGTAACTATGTATTATGTCTTGTTTGATTCCCTTAAAACTAATGCTTCTGGGGATTGCATTTGCATGTTAGAAAGTAATGCATTTTTGGTTATCTTGCAGTTAAAAGATTAAAAGAATAAGATGAAACATTTTGGTTTTGGGGACTATCCCCCTCCCCTTTTCTCTGGGCTAATTTTCTTTTCTCCGTTGATTTTTAGTTCCCTCTGCCAAAAAATCCACCTAGGTTTCTAAATGCAATCTATTTGTCTTGAAGAGTTATGCTTAACTTCAAATTTTCTCCCTTAGTGTGAGTTTATTCGTTAAAAAAAATTTCAATATCAGAACTAAGTTGATCTTCTTTGAATTACTTTGTAATTGTTACTCTTCACTAACCCAAACTTCTATACTATAGATAAACAGTGTATGCATCCTTGATTTCCCAGGACATAATATCGCACCGTACTCCAGATCCAGAAGTCCATTTACATATAAAAATTGGTTTGCTTGTGTACCATTCCTCTGGACTGTAACTTTTGCTTAAGCTGTTTCATTTAATTTCTGAATCAATTTTGAAGTATTAAGACTGTAAATTCATTATTTCTGTCCTCTGAAACATGGTTCATACTAATAGATACTGCATGGATGCGGCCAGTCTGGTAATATACCTCTCTTTCAATTGTTTTTATTTATAATTATTAAAATGGGACTTAATATCTATGGCAATAAAGCTGGATTCACAATTTTTCCTGATAGATTTTTGATTCAAAGTTAATAGCTTTTTGCAAAAATGCATAATTTGGAATGGGGTCTTGTCTTTCTGTTCATGATTGCTCCATTGTTCTCATGGTAGTTTGAACATATGGGTGTTTTGCAGAAAGTTGCCTCTTTTTGTAACACAAGGTCTCAAACTAGCATATTTTATCCCTACAAAACCATTTTTAGAGTAAAAGACTCGTGAATTGTTAAGGTTTTGCCTTAATACATCATTAACTCAGCTTGATTACAAGTATATACAATAGAAACTGATGATTTTCATCTAGTAGAAATGCTGAGACATACCTCTGTCTGAATCATTTGCAAGGAGTAGAATAATAATTATATCTGTAAGTACACAGATTTCTTTGCATGACTATACGTATAGTTTACTTTTCTTGATAAATAATGTACGCAAGTTTAGTATTAAGTTTTTTTTTCCTCTCAGTTCATCCCATTAACATGTGCAAATACTTGAGTATTTTTCTTCATCTGATGTTGCTAATCTGAACCTTAACCTTTGCTAATCTGAATGTGAACCTTTCTTGTATGATTTCCATCCCGAAAGATACACTCACAGGTTTCTCATACAAAATTCCATATATAGGTCTCAGACATTCAGCTGAAGGAATTGCTTCGAACATCCAAACATCAACCAAGCAGGAAAACAATTTCATGGCTTCCCAGAAGACAACATCCAAGGAAATTTCAACAAGGCCTGCAGACACTAAGCTGGAGAATCCTGCGAAAAAGCATAGGCTTGGTAACTACTGCAGCCTTAAAGGTGATGTAATGGAGATCCTGAGACAGATGCCAAGTGTGAGTACTACTGGAGATGGCCCTAATGGGAAGAGAATAGAAGGGTTTCTGTACAAGTACAGAACTGGTCAAGTGTGTATTGTTTGTGTCTGCCATGGTAGTTTCCTCACTCCAGCTGAGTTTGTGATGCATGCTGGGGGCAAGGAAGTGGCCAATCCCATGAAGCATATCACTGTTTTTTCTAACTCATTTTAGAGGCAAGGGAATAGCTTTACAATTCATCCATGTTGTAATGCAAAGGGAAGTGGAGCATGAAACTGTGTTTGGTTAGTTTAGTTTTCATGATTTAGTTATTGAAAAAATGAAAAGAAATTTCATCAAAGGTTGTGTACTTTTCTGAAGCTATGTCATACAAGACAAGATAATTCCATGATTTAGGCCAAAACTTTTCCCATCACTTATCTTTGTGGTACTGAGGAAACAAATTGAGGGAGTATAAGATGTTTGGTTGAGAGAAAATAAATAGTGAGAGTATAAGAGAAAGGAAAGGAAGAGAAAGAGGTGAGAAAAATGAGTGAAAATTGATTATTTAGATAGAAAGAAATAAATACACTTATAATATATGGGTGTTCTATAATCAATTATGGATATCTTATAATTGATTATGGTAAAAAAGGAAAAGAAAATTCAATCCTCTTTATTTAACAATATAATTAGTTATGTGTAACATAATTTGATTATTTTATTATGCACAGTAATTTACGCATATTTATTTGCATTTTTGTGAGGAAATGTAATAGTGAGATTCACCTCCATTTTCTTCCATCAAACCATCACCCATTCTGCATTATGCACCTTTCCATCCTCCCTCCTTCATCAGGTCATCCAAATCTTTCCTGCATATGCTCCTTTCCATCCTTCCCTCTTCTTTCTCCATTCTGCACCTTTCTATCCTCTGCTCTCCTATAGGATGTTTAAGTTATCAACCTTTTTATGTCCATAAACTTGTTGGAGTTGTAACTATTTCTATAATGAAGTTATCAACCTTGTTAAATTTCTGGAAAGGCACAAGTTTTAACGATTTAGCACATAAATTTTTCATGCTATGTATGTAGATATTTATAATTTTCAACAAAAAAACATTGAATTTAAATTACTCTCTTTTTAAATGGTTTAATTTCTTAAATTTTTATGTAAATAAAGTAATTTAAATTTATTAAATATTAGTTTTTTTTTGTGGATAAAATATTTCATAACATTAGTGAGTATGTTGTCTTTAGTAGACATCACAACAAATAATCATTATAAATTTGAACAAAAAAAAACGGTTAACATTAAGTGAAAAATTAATCCAATCTAAAAAATTCTAACAAAGAAGTAACTTTCACTTATGTGAATAGGTACATAATTTCAACCATGGAAACTAAAAAAATAATCTCTATAAACATAATTTAAAAACCTTGGTTTATACCAGTCCAAAAATATTCTCATTGATATCAATAAAAAAAGTTGTGATAATATTTATAAAAATATTGTTTTTTTTTTAATATTAGTCAATAAATAATCCAATTGATGTTAACTTATCAAATAGTGTTTGATATTAATCTAACATATAATGATGCAACTTTTCTTTCAAAATAAAATAAAAATATATTCAATTGATTAGAAAATTTTATAAATAATGGAGTTAAATTGTTTTTTTTTTTTCATAAAACGTTCTTCTCACTAAATTAGAATTCTTCATATTTTCTCTAAAATTTAGGCATTGAGTTGTTAGAACTTAGGTTCAGAAGTGACAAAAGAAAGTGGAGGTAGATAGGAGTAATTTTGTCTAATAAGATTTGTGAACGGGTTAGAAATTTCTTATATTGTTACATTGGGATGTTGTATAAGTGTTGACTATCATTGGCTTGAAGAAGCTAGTATACATGAATATTTAAGTAAAGAGAGTTAGTTATTGGTAATATTCTTAGATTGAAGATATGTGTTTTGGGATGTTTTAATACATGTTTAAGTTTATTTTGGTGTTATAATATATTTTAAGATATGATTATGGTTGGATAGTTTGTATTTATCAAGTATAAGGACAAGAACATTTTGACATTGAGTAAATTTCTTTATTTTGACTTTGTCGCTCAAGTGAGACATTGGTCACTTGAGCAAGAGGTCAAACAAAGGATGAGGTGAGCTAAACACTAGTGGTTCGCTGAAGTCAAACATTGTCGTTCTAATGAAAAGTCATTGAGTGACAATTTTGTCAAGAGAAAGTTACGTTACGCAAGTAAATAGGTCATTAAATGAGAGATTATTGATACAATATATTTTCACTCAAGTGATTGAGTTATTTATACAAGAATAATTATAGAAGAGAGAGAATTGGTATGACCAATTTTTTGTTCAAGCGATATATGGTCGCTCAAGTGAAATACAAACAAGAAAATATGAAATCATTTTGTTTGTTAGTCGCTTAAGCGACCTTAGTGTCACTAAAGCAAAAAATAAACAAAATGGATTACTGTTTATAGAGAAACTTTACTGAAGTAAGGGTGGTGGTGCTTAAGCAAATTATTTGTGTCACTTAACTAACATGAAGTTGCTTAAGGGAAGAAGAAGTAGAACCACTTAGGTTGAATATTGGAAGTATTTCACTCAGGTGACAAATGGTTTCTCAAATGAAATACCTTTGTTTGGTGAGTGAAATAAAATGATAAAAAGTTGAGAAAATGTGTATAAGAGGGTAAGTCAAGACAAGAGTGTTATTCATTATTAATTGATGTGTATATGTGTGTGAGAATAAGTCAAATAAGGGATGTAATCCTTAATCAACTGGATTGTATATGATGATAAGAGACAAGCAAGTCGAGGATAGATGGTCTAGAAATAACATTGATCACTCGAGAATGATATTAGAGTGACAATTATATTTATGTGGATTCAATTTAACCTCAATCATGTAGACTAAGTTATCACTAGATGAGAATAAATGAAGTTGTCCTAAGATTATGATAGGATGAATGAAGTTGTTAGTATTTTTAGTATGTAAGGAGGGACGCAAGAGGGATTTTGATAGTCATTTAGTATTTGATGAGTTTTCAATTTCAATGTGACCTACAAATATTGGTCTCTTAGTTTGAAACATAGTGTTAGTCTTGTGAAAGATGTGTATTACTAATGAATGTGATAAAATGGATGTGTATGTAATGATGTGTGATATATTTTAAGTTAGGTAATTATTGTTTGAATAATGTCACTTGTCTTGCTTTCTTGTATTATGACATGACTGTTATGATGTGTTGTTGTAGGGAGCATATAATATTGCAAGAGAGGATATTATACCTAAACAACAAGACTAGAGTAGGATACTTTTGTAAGTAGATTTGTTTAGTATTTTTTTTAGTATTGATCTTATATTAGTAGAAATTGTTTTTATACTATAATTTCTTGGATCATTACATAAAATATTGTTGTTATTGATAAAAAATATCCTTGACTAATGTGAAGTGGTATATAACACTTACCTATATTGACAAAACAATAATTTTGGTGATGAAAAGTTTGGCGTCCCAACTATTATGTTTATTAATAAATTTAAAGTAAATAATACTTTTACCAATTATATTTTAGGACTTGTAATTCAATTGAAATAGAGGTTCAAAATAATATTTATATATCATTGTTTTAAAAATTTTGGAAAATTCATCGTAGTTAGGGATGGCAAAACAAGCTAGGCTTGACTGGCCAGCTCGCGACTCGCCTAATTAATAAAAAAAATAATTTTTTATTGTAATAAAATTAATTATAACGATTATATATAAAGTTAAAATTTTTAAAAAGAAAATTAAAAAAGTTTCATTCTCACGTAAAATATTCTACTTACTAAAACATAACCTTCTCTCTCCTATTCTTCTTATTCATCCTAAGCACTCGATTATTTTTATCCTTATGACTTGAATTAAAGGTGTAAGAATTACTCAACCAAGAATAATGTGAATTTTTATCAAATAAAAAAGATATAGGTATTTGAATTTTTCAATATAAAAAATATAAATTTTATAAGTTTTAATGTTATTTATATATATATATATATATATATATATATATTTGTTATTATTTATTATTATATAAATTTTATTATTGTTCTAAATTATAATTTCTTAAAACAATGTATTGATTTATATTATTAAATTAAAATAATATATATATATATATATATATTGAATTATTGACAAACAAATAATAATCTTATTATTAAATTTATTGAAAAAATTTATTTTAAAAAATAAATTATTTTTTTCTAAATTATGATGGGTCAGCCCGCTAGCCCGTCCCTTGGCGGGCGAGCCAAGGTCTACAGCCCGTCATGACTATAACGGGTTAGCTCGCCCCACCCCGCTTTTGGCGGGTCAAAGGCGAGACGGTCAAAACAGAGCGGATCGGCCCATTTTGTCATCCCTAATCGTAGTCATGTAAAGTCTTAAATGACAATTATTTTTTCCAAATTCTTAAATGAAATTTAAGTAAAAAAATAAAATTTATAAGAAGGATAAGATTTCCTAGATTTAAGTTTAGTATCATTCATCATGTTATGGTTTAAGAACCTAATTTTCAAAGCAAACAAAATAGACACTTACACTCCATAATTTATATACAATTTCTCATTCTTATAAGTAACCAAAGAAAATCCTATACTTAGAGTAGGTTCCTATTAGCATAAGGTAGAGTAGGACGTCCAACAAATTTGTTTCTCATTCAAAGGTGATTATCTTTGAGCTCATCGATCTATTTCCTATAAAACTAGTTGTAAGGATGGTTCTCATTCTCTACACCAAACCATCATAAAACATTTTCATAATATAACCTAGGATAGATATGCATATCATGTGAAAAAAATGAGTTGCATTTTTCATGCAAAATAGTCAAAAGAGTTACAATGAAACATATACGTTGGATCAAGTCGGTTTTACAACTTAACAATGATTCACAATAAGAAACCAAAAACCAAAGAAACATAAATCATAATAGACAATATTGTATAACAAACACACTTAATACATAAATTGCAAAACACTTGTCATATAAAAAACACAATATATACTAAGAGTACGAAGAGAAACCCAACATAAACTCATAATACATTGGCTAGATGGTAATGAAATAATGCATACACATAATAAAATAATAAAAAAAAATTCTTCAAACAAAAAAATAAAAAGATTAACATACATTACTTCTTTTAATAAAAATCACAAAAATAA